TTGTCTATCGGCCTCACCCAGCATGGCCAGGCTCCCATCAGCCCCTGCATTACACAGCCATGCCGGCTGGGGCACGTGAAGTTGGCATCCCCCAAAACTGGAGGGCAGCAGACAGGCGAAGGCTGTTGTGTTTTGCAAGCAGGCAGAATGATGCAATGGGGTCTGGTCGAGATGGGAATGCCCTGATTTGGGCCTCCTGTTGGGGCAAATCAGGAAGAATCTCGCTTTGGGGGTTTGATGTGGTGGCGGCTGATGAGGTTGGGCTGAGGCAGGATGAGCCCCACCTTGTTTGTGAGAAGCCTTCCAGACAAAGTGGGGAGCAGGATGGTACAGGATGCCTGGTGTTCGTTCCCAGGCGATGGCCTTGTGCGAACACCAGGGGCTCTTCAACTTGAGTTAATAATGTGCTTTTAGCCCAGCAGGAGAGGAGGAAATCTGGCAGCCAAGGCCCCATTTTGTGTGTGTGCTCGTCTCAGTACATTTTAATAATAGCACTTCATGAGTGTTTGCTAACAAACTTTGCACTCCTAACCTGCAGCGGAGAAGAATTAAGTCTTCCTTTTGTATCAAGGAGAGAGAAGGAAAGTTCATTTTTGTTTTGCCCTGAATTCACATTAGTGGTTTGGGCACTCTTGGATCGGGGTCCTGAATCTCACCCCACTTTTTTAGTTTGGACAGCACAGGGCGAAGTAGGTGTTGGGTACCCTCTTTGAAGCTCTGCAGCTCATAGCACATGCTTCACACTCAGAAGGTCTTGGAATTCCAGCCCCCAGTCAGGATCTCAAAATCTGGGGAGCCGCTATCACTCCATGCAGAGCAGGGGCTGGGCAGAAAGTAGAGCTCAGTCTATCAGTAGACTTGAACTAGACGTGACTAAGAATTTTTGACCAGTGCTAGAAACTCAGATATATAAGCTAGACACCAAATGGCTCCTTAAACCAAGGTTACAGTCACCAAAATGGAATGTCTAGCTGCCATTTGGGGGCAAGACATCTTAAAGTCTTATTTTTCAAATGATGGACTGCTGTGACATCCAGCTAGTTCAGATGACAACCTTGAGCTAGGTTAAGAGCTTTGAGAACTTAAAGAATAAAAGTCACTTGATCCAGGGATAGTCCACATATATCTTGGCCTATTCTGACCTCTTTTTCTTGATGGTGACTGCTCCTGCTCAGGCTGCACAGAAAAAGCATTTTGGTTCCGGAAATTCATTCTGATTGTGCAGATAAAATATAACTGATGGAATTCTACAGGATGGGGTGGTATTAGTGTGTGAAAACAGTCCAGATCCAATGATCCCAGGCATCTTCACTTGGACACAAGTGGTTGATTCCTTGCTTTTGACTCCTTGTTTAACAAGAGTGGCAACCAAAGGATGCTTTTCATCTAAAGTGGGCTGCTGAAATTAAAACGGCTAACAAGGAGTGGGCTCTGGGACTGCGAGCTCATTTCAGTTCTCTGACTGGACATTTCACAAGTCGCAAGAGGAAGGGGCGTAGCTCAGTGACAGAACATGTAGAAGATCCTGGGTTCACTCACTGGCAGGATCAGGACTGTCCCCTGTCAGAAACTTTGGAGAAGCCACTGCCAGTCAGTGTAGACAACACTGAGTTCTTAAGTTGGGGTAGCTTTGGGCATTTTGTCTACATACGTATTTAGCATTCCGCCAGGACCCAAGACCAGCACCCCTGGGACTCTTGGCTCCATCTCAAACCCACTTAGTGTTGGAGGTCAGAACACCTAAGGTGCCTTCGGACCATTGTGGGGGCCTTTGAGGTATCGCCTCCATTGCCTTTTATCTTGTCAATTATATCAACTGTTCCTTTCCCCATTTTAGGCCTACCTGTACTCATCTTCAATAATTGCAGTTAATAGCCCCTTTATGCCAGCTATCCAGCCCTGTTAGGACTGTGCATCCATGGCATGAAAATTAAGCATTCCAGGCATGAAACAACTCAAATTTTCTCTTTCTTTCTCCCCTCATCCTCCCACAAAAGAGCCCTTGGGTGGTAATTAAAAAGGACAGGCCACCGTTTCCAGCAGTTCTGCCCTCTTAAGAACTGCGGACGGAAGGCTGTTGTTGGAGCTCGTTAATTTTAATTTGGTTAATTTTAGAGCCGAGTGTGGTTGGAGAGGCATCTGAGCTTGGCGCCATGGTGGGGGAACCTTGGCTTGTCCCAGCAGCTGTTGCTGTGTTGTGAGGGCATTTATGGTTAACTGGTTGAATTAAGAAGAGGGGGTTGCTGCTGGGGAAGAAGGGAAGACTAGCAAGGATGCCTGTAAATGGAGAAGGCCATTTTGAACTGCAGCAGGTGCTTAGGAGGGGGTGGCACCAACCTGGTGGCATCATATTCTATAGCAATGTAAGCACCATCTGTCTCTTGCCATCCTCCTTCAATTATTTAATAGTTTGCCTGCAGTTAGAAGACCTGTGTCATGCCCATGGGCCAAAACGGCTACAAAACTTATAAGCTTGAGAGCATCAGGTTGGTCTTCAGGAAGCAGCTTTTTAAACCTAGCCCTACTACTTGGGGAGATTGGAAGCTGGTCCTGGGATCTTTTCAGGACAGATAAAGAAAGTACTTCTGCACGCAGCACATAGTCAGCCTGTGGAACTCACTCCCACAAGAGGCAGTGCTGGGCACCAACTTGGATGGCTTTAAAAGAACGTCAGACCTATTCGTGGAGGAGAGGACTATTGATGGCTACTTGCCATGGTGACTCTGCCCTGCCTCCATGCCAGAGGCAGCGATGCTTCTGAATAACAGTTACTGGAAACTGCAGGAGAGGAGAGGGCTGCTCTTGTGCTCGAATCCTGCTTGCTGGTTCCCCACAGTGGTTGGCCATTGTGAGAACAGGATGCAGGACTAGACGGGCCATTGCCCTGGTCCAGCAGGCCCTTTGCTTCTTGTGTGCAAAATTCATCAAGCCGTATCCAGACTAAATGTAACAGGATTGAACTCATGGTGCACGGTTGAGTAATTGGTGGCATGTCTTTCCCCCGTACCTGTGAGTCACGTTGCCAAGTGGGGATGAGCAAGCCTGAGAACTCTGCGGTTAGCAGGGCCGGTGGTGGAAAGCCTCCAGAGGGCAGGACCCCAGAAATCTCCCTCAACAAAGCCTCCTTTGGAAACGCACTTGCCTTGCCCTTCCGTTGGGCTCTCGTGCCTCTCTCCTCTCTCTGCCGCCTTGTTCTAGCTAGTGATGCTGGCAGCAGGCCGCCCAGCAAGTAAAAAGCCTAGTGAACTGTTCTGTGTAGTTCATGGAAGAAAGCTGCTTTTGTTGCAAATTTGTCTTCCCCTCCTTTCCCCCTCACCTCATTGTGAGTCGCTGGAATGCGGAGTTGGAGAAAGGGCGAAGAGTTAAACCCCAAATGCAGCCACAGCGCCCATGTGACTGGGCTCTCTGGGCTCTTAGCGCCCTAAGACAAATCACATGTGAGGCAGCAGGGAGGTCAGGTGGCCACCACTGACCTTCCCAGATCCCTTTTCTACCCCTCCGGGCGCACCTGGGGGCTCCGTCTTCAGAAGGGAGCCAGGAAACGGGAACTCCTATGTTCTCAGCCTCCCTCTCCTAGAGGAGCCTGGGTTTGGCCTCCAGATCAAAAGGCATGAAACGAAACGTCCACCGAGACGTCTTCAGAACTAAAATAAACGCAGCAAACGTGCTGGAAGTGTCTTCAACAATTGACGACCACCCCCTCCCCTCCTCTCCCCGTATATATATTTTTTCCTGGGCTGTTTCCATTCAAGAACGGATGAATAACAGGAACTCCAAATATTTGGACCCTTCCCACAGCTGACAGGGACGTGAGCACTTGAGGGTTTTCTTGGGCGCCTCGGGAACCTGAGGAATCCTTTATGTCCTCACCAAGGTGGGATTGTGTGTGTGTGTGTGACCGCAGCACTTCGGTTGAAACTTTGTGCTCCTCTTGCCTTGAAAATCCTTGTGGGGCTGACGTCTGGGGCTGAACTGTAGCCTCCATTGAACTGTAGCCTCCATCACTCTGCCAGAAGCCGTCTTTGCAATTGCTTCCTAGGAGCTTAAGATGAGAATTGACAGAGTTGCCGCTTGGCTAAGATTGTAGTAGGCATTCTGGGTGGCATGGGACGCTTGGGCACTTGGGCTCAGTTGCTCGGGGTGCCTTGCGGACATGATCCAGTTTGCATGCAGAAGACCTCAGGTTCCCTTTCCGGCAAATCCCAGCATTGAAGGGCAGAGCTCAGGGGCAGAGCATCTGCTTTGCATGCAGAATGTCCTTGGTTCAGTCATAGGCATCTCCAGGTAGGACTGGGAATGTTGCCAGTCTGAAAACGCCAGAGAGCTGCTGCCAGTCAGTGTGGGCAGTACTGTGCTGGATGAACCAGTGGCCTAACTTTGTTCCTTTTTTATTGGGGAGAGAATTGTTTCCTTGGTATGGAACATAAAGAGGAAACGGAAGGGCTGCTTTAGGTCAAAACCGTCTTGCTAGCTAATCTCTTGTTGTTTGGACCCCCTTCTTCCTTGGATGTGGACCAGGGCTGGGGAATCGTTTTTCAGCCTGAGAGCCACATTCCCTTCTTTGGCCCTTTGGGGCCACATGCCGGTGGTGGGCAGGGCCAGAGATAAAGTGGGTGGGGCAACAATGGTGAACTTCACCTTTCTACAGTAGGCTGGTTTCCACACACAAGCATCCCCCTTTGTACAGGCAAGCAAAAGCACTAAGGCAACAGTCAAACAGAAGATCCTTGGTTCAGTCCCTGGTATCTGCAGGTAAGGCTAGGATAAACTCCTACCTGAATCCTCTGCCTGCAGCCAGTGTAGAGATAAAACTGAGCTAGGTGATTCTGTATAAGGCCCTTTCCTTTTTTCTATAGCGTCCAGCATAAAGCTGCTCACCCATTCAGAAGAAATGTATTCTTACAGCTTCAGCCATAAAAAGGCTCACTGAAATGGAGACACTGTATTTGAACACCTTGTGGTTTTTGTCCCCCCCCCCCCTGTGTTTTTACCCTGTGAAGACGGTCCTGGAATCCTGAGCCCTGAACACTCCTTTGATGGCACGAAATTGGAGGTTGGGAACATCGTCCTGGCCTTGTATAGCGGTCTCTTCGCATATGGAGGCTGGTGAGTTCTGTGTTCAAACATCCTAAGCACACATCCGCACTTGACATTTAAAGCACTCTTATACCACTTTAACAGCAACAGCTCCCCCCCCCCCAAGGATCCTGGGAAGTGTAGTTTGCTATGGGTGCTGAGAGTTGCTAGGAAACCCCATTCCCCCTGCATAGCTACAATTCCCAGAATTCCCTGGGAACACAGACTTACTGAAAAGGCCCTGCCTTCCATTGCTCTCAGTATCCCTTCTGCAGTGGTTGGCACCCAGACCAGGGCCTCCCATATACATATTAATGAACACAGAGGTTTGTGGATTTTTGGCACACGCATGGCAGGCTTGCCTGACACGGTAAGTCACAGGTAATGGGTTACTGTGGACAGCTCCCCCATAACTCCTCTTCTAGCAGGAGCAGCAGATCACAATCCGTGGCTCAGCCCCTCATCTGAAGAGGGGACTGCAGTTTTGCTCCAAACAAATCACAATCAGAAGACTGTGTTCTGCTCTTGGTTCCTCAGCTGTGGCTTGAAAAGAGAGTAATGCTCCAGGATTGCTAATTCAGATGCCACTGTTAAGTCCATGGTTTGTTGTTCCTGTCAGGAGAGGAGCCTTCTGTGTGTTCGTGATAAAACAATTACCTATGGCTTCCTGTGCCACGCAAGTGAGACCAGCGCGCGTGAGAGAGAAATCTTTCCTAAGCTGCAACCTTGATGCTTCTTATCAAATCTAGACTTACTCTCAAAGTAGACCCACTCAATGAACATGGCTAACTTGGGCTTATTCATTTCAGTGGGTCTACTCTAATTTGATTTAGTTGGATACAACCCTATAATCAAGGGCAGGATGCCTCTTATCCCACTCAGCAAGCTGAATTACTTTTAAAATCTTTGTCCTTTGCAGGAATTACTTGAATTTTGTCACAGAAGAGATGATCAACCCTTACAGGTAAGGGGTTTCTTTTCATAGAATCATAGAGTTGCAAGGGACCGTGGGGGTCATCTGCTCCAACCCTCTCCAATGCAGGACTCTTCTGGCGCAACGTGGGGCTCGACCCACGACCTTGGGATGAAGAGTCTCATGCTCTAGCAACTGAGCTATTAGTTCTGTTTCTTTTGCTCTTCTTTTGCCTCTGGGCAACTCATTGATGAAGGAAGGAGCTGAGCCTTTGCCTCTCATCCTTGTTCACCAAAAGTCCCCTAACTCGCCTGCCACAAACTGCCCCACCAGGTGCCTTGCAAAGAGAACAACAAAATGGCTGCTGGGAGGGGGCGTTGGTATCGGGTTCAATATGGTGTTTGTGGGTGGTGGTCGCAGCACAGCTTCCTTGCACTTTTGTGCGCTGCGTTTGCTCGTGAAACAGCCTCCCTGGTGATCAGATATTGCTGTACGGATACTTGCCACCACTTCAATGCTTTTACTGACGTCAGTTGGTTGGATTGCCTCTTGGTTTTCTCGGAAAGAGGCTTCCAACAGCTGAATGGCAGGTTGAAAACTCAACAGGTAAAGCTTCCTCCATCACTGTCTCTAGGCAAAGCTCCTCCTGTCAACAGATTCATATATTATTAAAAAATATTTATATACCCTTGTTCATAAAAAACAACACCAGAGAGGTTTACAGCAATTGTACAAACCATCCTGTACTTGCTATGGCTGTCCTAAGCCTTGGACACCCTGTGCTGGGTGTGTGTTTGTGTGCCTTTTACACACATTCCCAAGTTCCAAGAAAAAGTGCAGCGCAAGACAATTAAAACTAATTCCTTAATTGGAAAGCCCATTAAAAATATGATTTAAACCTGGAAATGTTCTTTTAGTGTCCTCACCCAGCTCTCATAGATCAATATTTATTGATCACTGTTCTCCAGATGCCCGTCCTTATGAAGCCAAAGCAGCCACACAAGCAATAGGAAGATCAGGCAGCTTGGGAGGGGGACCCCAAATTTTGCAGAAGTTCAAAATAACTTGAAGCTAAGGGAGGATTTGTAGCAGGCCCTGCTTTCAGAATCCTAAAATAAGGCTTCATCTGGGGCGGGAGGTGTGATTGACTTGTATTTATAGATTTTCAGTGTTTCTCCAGAACTTGTTTTTTGCATAATAAGAGTCACCAGCTTTCTTTTCTGGCAGTGCTCGTGTGCCTCTTGACAGCTTTGTGGCATGCAGAGGAGAATAATTATTATTATTATTATTATTATTATTATTATTATTATTATTATTTATACCCCACCCCTCTGGCTGGGTTTCTGGTGCCTGGCTGGCAAAGCTCTTCTGGGGTCGGAGCTGAATTTTGCTTCTCAGTCATGTAGCTGTTGAAGAGCAGAAGAGTGCTGTTGGTTGGCAATGCCGTTATGAACTCCCTTTTCCCCACAAGTCATTCCGTACCATGTTATATAGCATGGGAGGAGTGGCCCTGTTTCACCAGACACCGAATATGGAAGCCTTATAATTCGGGCAGTTCAGGGAGAATTCAGATAGCAGGCTTCTGTCTATTGTTTCAATCAGAAATCTGGTGGAGTGTTGGTGTTTTTTAAAGAAAGGTTTAGCTGAACCCGGCTAAGCATCCTGTTGCCTGCAGCATTGAACCTGGTGCCCCAATAGGAAGCCCACAAGCAGGACCTGAGTGCAAGAGCAGCATCTCTCCACGCTCACATCCCCCAGTATTCATAGGCCTGCAACCTCCGGCAGTGAGGGACAGCGTTGCCATCCTGACTAGAAGCCACCAAGAGCCTTGTCTTCCACGAAATCTTCTAATTCATGTGTGCAAAGCAGGATTTTGCAGCAAAGTGTGTTGGAATCGGATATGCCTGTTCTGATTCACGCACAGCCCTAAGAAGGCACAAACCGCCTGCAGCGGGTGGGGTCTGTGTTATTGTTCTTTCCCGGTGATGCTTGGCTCAAACTACAAAGGTTTGTAGAGGCTCAGTTCATCTGACCTGGATGCTTTATAACTTCTAAAGTATGTTTGTTGTGGCTGCAATTAGATTGTCAAACGCAGCATGTCCACTGGCCTCTCCTGGCTTTCTGGTCTGCTGGTTGGTTACATGTTGCATCGAGGAGGTCTTCATTTTTTAAAACTTTCTTGGTTCTTTTAATGATTGGACTAAGGCAGGTAGGCCAGCTCAGCCTAACCCAGCCTGGTGCTTTCCAGATGTTTTGGACTACAACTCTCATCAGCTCTGGCCAGTGCAGCTATGTGATGTCAGGGCTGACTGGGGCCAATGAGAGCTGAGGTCCAAAATATCTGGAGGCCACCAGATCTTGGGGGATAGGCTGGTCTATCTCCTTTGATTTGTTTGCCTTATTTCCTCCCTTGCCTGCTACAGCCCAGCCTGGCCATGCACTTGGAGTTTAAAAAGTGTTTTCTACCCAAACTAGGACATGTTCCTAATCCACAGCCAGGTGGCTTTGTGGGGTTTAATTCCACAAGCTGGCACGGAGGCAACTGTGAATCTCTGCCCCAGTCAGCCTACTAACTAAGCCAGCAAGAAGGATGTGTGGACTGTTTGCCTCAAGGTAGCATATGGCCTGACTTGCAGGCTCTTCCAAAGTACCTCCCGTTTTGCGAGGAGCAACGCAGGAAGCAATGGAATATTTTGAACTGGGCAGTTACTCTGGTGTGGCTGGGGGTGGGAGAACAAGTGGGCTTCCCTCAGGCATCTGATTCACCGCTGTGGGAAACAGGATGTGGAGCTAGATTGGCCTTTGGTTTGATCCAGCCGGGCTCTCCTAAGGGTCTTAAGATAAGCAGGAGGCTGTTTTCAATAGAAAATAGCTTTTTTGTAGCGAGCTGCTGTGATCCCGGGGGAGAGGGGAGGGGATGGATTTTCTGCTGTCTTGCGTATGGCCTCTTAATCCTAAACGTGGTGGGGATCTGCTGCTATATTCAGTTTCCCCCCTCCTTTGTAACTTGGTGATCCAACGTGTGTGCATGACTAAAGAATAATGTCCCTTCTGCTAATGCTGCAGTTGTGACGTGCATCATTGGTGCCCTGGGGCATCCCCCAGAGGTGATCTTAGAACCGCTTGCAAAACACTCTAACCTTCTCTCAATGTTTCCCCTCAGAAACCTGCCTCTGGCCATCATCATCTCCCTGCCCATCGTCACCTTGGTTTACGTCTTGACCAACCTGGCTTACTTCACAACGCTGTCTGTGGATCAGATGTTGGTGTCGGAAGCCGTTGCTGTGGTAAAATATGGAGTGACTCACCCAGAAATGGCTGCTCTTTTAGCTAGCTCGCTTCTCTGGCTTTTTGACATTTCCCTGTGTGCAATCTGGACCTCATGCTATCTTGGAGTTCCATCTTTGCCATTCAGCCAATGCTGATCTTTCCCTGCTGCCACCCCCTCTGCATTGGAGGATGCCATCGTGGCTCACATGACGATGAGCTGGGATAAGTGGAACGTTAGCCGAGGATATGCATCTGTCTGAGAAACCATCACCACTGGCTATAAGAGCAAATCAGAGCCTGTGTGGTCTCGTGATCAGTTTCCAAAGTGACACCTCACAGGGGGAAGTGCTGTGTCAGTATTGACGTGAAATGTCCTCTCCTTTTTTTTTCTTTTGAGGCCAGCTGTTGTTTTGTCGCTAGTAATTTTAAACACTTAGAGCATGCAGCTGCTACTGATTTATTGCAGCCAGCCTGATGGTGCCCTGGCTAGAGGGTTGGGGAGACCTTGGGTCAAATGGGCGCTGGCCCATAAAGCCCCTGTAGGGGAAGCCTCTGTCTCTCAGCCTTCCCAATCTCACAGGCTGGTTGTTGATGCTAAAATGGAAGGCAGTGTGGAAGAACCACGCCTGTTCTCCTGAGTCCCCCAGAAGGAAGGGGAAGGGGGGAAATGTGACAGGTAACTTGCTCCTTGTTCTTAATGATTGCCAGTGCAACGACCCTGCGAGAGAGATCAATTTTCAGTTGGCAGGAAGAAGAGAATCAACCCCCCTGTGTGCCTCACTGGGCTGAGGGTCTCCTGGGTTCAAGTCGGTCTGTGAATCACATGATCTTGCAAATCCAGTTTAGCCCACCTGGGCACTGTCATCTTCCCACTTCTTCACGTGCTCAGCTGTTGGCATCTCCTGGGCAAACCTCTGACACTCCTCTTCTTTCCTCCTTCTTGTTTGCTCATAGGATTTTGGGAACTATCACCTGGGCGTCATGGCTTGGATCATCCCCGTCTTTGTTGGCCTGTCGTGCTTTGGCTCAGTCAATGGGTCACTCTTTACTTCATCCAGGTACGTGTCTTGCTCCTCTGGTGGAGTGGGAGAGTCTCCTGTGGTGACTGGAGGGTGGAATTGGAGCTTGGTGCAGGGACTGAATGTAAAGCAGGCAATCCCATTAATACTTCTCCAGGATCTTTCAGGAGAACAACTTGCTTCATGTTTTCCTTTTTTTGTTGTGGAATACCTTCCACACTTCTTCTGTATTTATTGGCTGTGCCTTGTGTCAGGTCAGACTTGTGCACCTAGTGTCCAGCACTGCGATCTCTGGATGGCAGTGGCTTCCTGGGGTCTTTCCCCATCACCTCATTTGTAGCTGGAGATGCCGGGGATTAAACTGGGAGCCTTCTGCATGTCAGGCAAGTGTTCTGCCCCTGACCTACATCCCCTCAATCCCATTGGAGAATATCTCAGAGTGGCCCTTCCCTTTCACACTCTGCAGCGGACAGAGGCATGGAGGATTAGCTTCCTCCTTGTCTGTATGAAACTGGTGCAGCTCCAGACAGAATGAGGCACAGTAATTTGGCTCCCCAAATGTCACAAGGAGCTCCTTCTAGCTGTACGGCCCTCTTAAAGTAATTTCAGGCAGTGTGAATTAACTGCAGTGTTGTTCTTTCCTCTCTCTCTTAGGCTGTTCTTCGTTGGTGCTCGTGAGGGACACCTGCCTTCTGTTCTGTCTATGATCCATCCCAGGCTCCTCACGCCGGTGCCTTCACTCGTCTTCACAGTAAGGATGCCCACAGGAAAACCTCAATCCTTTCCATTTGAGAGGCGGTATAGGCAGTGATGACCCCCAACCTAGATGGCTTTACAAGATGATTACACAAATTCAGAGAGGAGAGGGATATCAATGGCTACATCTTACTTTCTTAAGTGGATTTTTTAGTAAAAAAAAGAAAAGATAGTTCTGTTGGCGTGGCCATTACAACAAAATGGCTGGTGGTGTCAGGAGGTGGGGGGAGAGGATGCAGGTCCACCTTCAACAGTTCTGCTCATTCAAGTTTCAGTTTGGAGGGGGCGTGTATTATAATCAAAATATCTTCTACATTCATTAGGCAGAGAGTTAGCTGTCGGCTTTCCTTGCAGCTTGGTAAGCATCCAATTTCTGTTCCCAACGATACATCGCTATGTTTGGCGAGTGAGGACAGCTCTTCTGTCCGCTGCTGGATTGTTGTGATGGTGTTTACTCTTCCAGTGATGTAAAATGATAGGTTTGGCAACCTGCGGGCCTTGACTTACAAACCAGTTCCGCTGCCCTTGGAATAGAGCTCCCTAAACAGCAGCAATGCTGTTTTGTCAGTGGATTTTCGAATTGGTGTGCCTTTCGTTTGCAGTGCCCAAGCAGCAGCACCTGTTGGACATATCCAACTAGCCAAGGCTGCCTCTATCCTTGCTTGCTTCCAGCCCACCTTCTCAGTCGGATTATTACAGCTGCATCGCTTGGGTTCCTCAAAGCAGGGGAAGATCTGCCCTGATTTAAAGCTGTGGCACTTTGTACCACCTTTGGGCTAGTGGTCTATAGTCCTGCTTGCCCCATCTGGGGCTGGGGGCAGGACACTCTGAAGTTGGAGAAAGGTTCGTCCAAAACGATCAGGAGGGTTAGAGCATCTTCCCCAAAATGTATGGGGCTTGTTCACTCCTGCAGGAATTCTGAGATGACTTTTAAAAGTGGAGTGAGCAAATTCATGGGCAGTGGCTATCTGTCATTATGGCTAAATATGCTGCTTCTTTAGGAACATAGGATGCTTCCTTATACGAACTCAGATTTGGTCAATCTTGCTCTGTTTGGTGGTGGTTGTTGTTGTTGTTGTTGTTATTGTTATTATTACCACTACTGCTACTATTATTTAAATATGTATACCACCCTATACCCGCAGATCTCAGAGGTTCACAGCATAAAATCACAATATAAAAAGACAAAATATGTAATAAAAACAAAAACAAGAGCAACCCAATCATCCCTTCCCTCCCCAACACATTTTAAAAGGGCATCTGATGTCAGTGTCTCTCCAGGATTTCAGGCAGGAGTCTCTCCCAACCCTACCTGAAGATGCCAGAGATTGAACCCAGAACCCTCTGGTTGCAAAGCACATGCTCTGCCACATTGCCTCTCTAGCTGGAGGTTTTGTCACAGAATACCAGCTGCTAGGGAGCAGTAGCAGAAGTCTGTCAGAGAGGGGTGGCTTTGTCCCCACTTGTCAGCTTCCACATAGAGAAGCCACACAGATGAGCCTTTGGTCAGATGGAGCAGGGCTGCTCTTGCATTCTTGTTTCCTCATGGACTGTTCTTTATAGCTTTGGGGGACACAGCAGTGGATGAGGCAGTGTTGGAGCCAGGGGAGGCAACACGGACAGCTGCCTCACTCTCTTTTCTCGAGAGAGGGAGAGAAAGCAGAAGAGAGGTCCCAGCTTTGGCAGAAGGAGGGGCACTCTGCAGCATTCCTGGCTGCCTCTTGCTACTCGAAGAACTCCCTGCGGCACAGGCTGAGAGTGTGCCAGGATCCTCATGCCAGAGCCTGTGGTGACAAGGACAGCAAAGCTGTTCTCACCCAGCTTAAGCCAGCTGCTTCTCTTGAGAACAGCAGGGCATTGTCATCAACACCAGTGGATTTGGCTTGGCAGTGGGGAGCGTGGTGTGGACAGCAGTCACGGACACTGGATCGGATCACCCTGCTGAAATGCACTCAGTTTTGGCTGGGTGGGGGTGCGTCTACATAGAATTCACTTTCCCCTGACAATGCAGAAGGCTGCGGCAATTTTCAGAGAGGGTGACACTGGTCCATCAGAGATGGCTTCCCACTGACCACTCAGGAAAGGGTGTGTGTGGGATTAAGCCATGGATAGGAAACATCTGTAGCTCAGCGGATGTCACTGGGCTCATACCCTCCAACATTGCTCTGATGAAAATAGGGGTGTCCCATAATAATAATAATAATATAATAATAATACCCCACCCATCTGACTGGGTTGCCTCAACCACTCTGGGCAGCTTCCAACACATATAAAAACATAATAAAACATTAAATATTAAAAAAACCTTCCCAATACAGGGCTGCCTTCAGATGGGGGTTGGCTAACTCCATACCCTCCAACATTTCTCCGATGAAAATCGGAGGAAAATCTTAAGGAAAAGCAGGACATTCTGGGATCAAATCAGAAGCTGGGATGGCTTTTGTAAATTCGGGACACTCCCTGGGAAATAGGGACACTTGGAGGGACTGTGAACTCCAAGCCCCACCCACCCTAGCAGCCAGTATGCCTCATGGTTGCAGAGGTGTGTGTGTGATGGACCTACAATCTAGCAACATCTGGAGGGGGACCAACTCGCCACTGCTGTGTTGAGCAAATCTTTGCTTGAGAGATCAGAGTGCAGACCCCTGACTGAGGTTTGGTAAGTTGTTCCAGAGAGTGGCTTCCATTTAATGGAGAACTGAGGGGCGTCATAGGTTCGTTTGTTTTTTTGAGTTTGGGGGAAACTGAGAAGGACTAGCTGCCTTGCTTGTTTGAGCTTGCTCTCTGAATTTCCTGCTTCTGTCTGCTGGTTCTATGCCTACCTCCACCGCACACGTTGCAAAGGTTTAAAACTCAAGTGCAAGACCCATATTTGTTTTCTAGTGGCTGCCATTCAAATGGCAAAATCGCCTGCGTCCTCCATTAATTCTCATTTATTAAAGGCATTAAAAGTCAATGATTGTCATTTGGGTCACTCCTGAATTTTATCGATCTGTTTCCTCTCCTCTCCCCGCTCCCCCCTTCCAAATCTGCAGTGCATCATGACTTTGCTCTACGCCTTCTCCAACGACATATTCTCAGTCATCAACTTCTTCAGCTTCTTCAACTGGCTCTGCGTGGCCCTGGCGATCATCGGCATGTTGTGGTTGAGATACAAGAAGCCAGAGCTGGAGAGGCCTATAAGGGTGAGAGAGGGATGTGGTGGCGGCAGCAGAAGTGTGGGAGTTATCATGGGGGATAAGGCTGTCAATGGCTGCCAGCCGCGATGGCCATGCTCTGCCTCCACTGTCAGAGGCAGGTGCTGGGAAGCTCAGCTGGGCAGACTTCTGATGTTGTGCTCAGGTCCCGCTTTTGAGTTTCCCACAGGCATCTGGTTGGCCACTGTGAGAACAGGATGCTGGCCCAGATGGGTCATTGGCTTGATCCAGCAGGGCTCTTTTTGTGGGCTCTGTTTATTGATTTACTATACTTTCATCCTGCTTTTCAGTCAGTTATTGTTTCCTAAACTGACTCATATCAATTAAAAAGTGAGAGAAGTTTCACCCTCAGATTTACAGACTGAAAAAGGCACTCGAGGCAAGTGGGGGAGGAGGGAAAAGGCATAGCTGGGCCATTACTTCAAGGCCAGAACCAAGGAGTGAGCTGCAAGATGGCTTTTACATCCCGCTGAGGACAGGCTGATCTTCCCTTGCTTGTGTTCCTGCTTCAAAGGTCCCTTCAGATTTGCCCGAATCTTCTGGAAGGGATTTAAGCACGTACCAGAAATTTTAAGTTTACACAGTTGAAGTGGAGAGAAGCTCTCTTGTCATGCTAGCGTATAATAAATTAGCTTTATTTTTTAAATGGACTTCTTGGGGGTTGTAAAATGTGGGGGGAAGTGTGGGAGCCACTGTGGCATGGTAGTTAGAGTGTTTGATTTGGGAGACCAGGGTTCAGATCCTTAATTGCCCATGAAGCTCACTGGATTGGACCTTGGGCCAGTCACTCCCTCTCAGCCTGCCAACCTCACAGGGTTGTTGTGTGGGGGGGGGGAGAGAACTATATGTTCTCCAAATGGTCTAGAAAGGTTTTTAATTGAATTAAATAAAACTGAAGCAGTGAGTGGTTAATCCCGTCCAATGGGGTTTTTTTTCTTTTAGTATAGAAATTGTCTGATTTCACTGCTCTTTTGTGTCCCATCCCCCCGGCCCTTTCCCATGTACAGGTGAACCTCATTTTGCCCGTCTTCTTCATCCTGGCCTGCATATTCCTGATTGTCGTCTCTTTCTGGATGACCCCAAAGGAGTGTGGCATTGGCTTTGCCATCATTCTCAGCGGGGTCCCCGTTTACTACTTTGGGGTCTGGTGGAAAAACAAACCAAAGTGGCTCCTCCAGCTCATATGTGAGTCCCTTTCCTGGCTTGCAGGGTGTTGCATTGTGCGGGTTAGGAATGGGTGCGAGAGCAGTAACCTGTACTCTTGATCTCAGCATAATGGTATTAAATCAATTCGTGTGGGGGTTTTTTTAATTCCCTTTCGATAAATTGTTAAAAGTATGGGAGGAAAAATATATTATTTTTTGACCCATGTGTGTGGGATAAATAACAAAAGAATCAGCTGGATGCCTGGTTTCAAAGTGTGGCACTAAACTCATTCTCCAGCAGGAGAGAATCACTAGTAGCAGAGTTTGAACTCACAAAGTCAAGCAGCAATAGGAATGTAAACCATTAAACCTTTTGCATATCCTGTTCAGTCAGCTTGCAAAGTGCTCCCCTCCTTCTATTCCTCTTGCAATGAACAGACAACACACTGTTAAGTAAGTTTAAAATGCTTTACTTACAGAATGTTCCAAAGGTTAGATTCATGCATTTATCCAAGCAGCAACAAGAAGAACACAGGCATACTACCACACTTTTTTCCTGCCTGACTGAGAAGGACCAGTCAGGTTTTGTGGGGGCAGCTGGAATTCTAGGTTCTAGGAACTAGTATTTCTGCTACATTGCCTCTTTGCATCCTCCAACCCTAGCCCTCCACACACACTCAGCCCCACCCCAGTCTTTGTAACCAGGAAGCCTGAACTCTGCAGATAGGTTGCATCATGTCAGCTAAGCAAATTCCCTCATGCTTACACATTTCCAGAGCCTGTGCTTACTTGGTAGTGCCACGGGTGTGCAGAACACTTTCCAACCACATCATTTGCCTGCCAGATATCCCCAGTTCAGTCCCTGGTCTCTCCAGGTTGAGCAGGGAAAACCTCTTCTGCGTGAAATCCCAGAGAGCCCATATTGAGCTGGGTGGACCAATGGTCTGCCTTGACAGAGGGCAGCTTTCTCTGTTCCTGTAACAGAAAAGCCTAAGATCTGGTTTATTTCACACAACTAAAATGCAACTTTAATCAGCTCCCAGTCACAGTCCTCTTAGCTCTCTCTTCTCTGTCTCCCCTGTTGGTCTGTCTCTCTCCTTGTTAACTTTCCCATCAGGCTAAGACGAGCCTTTGAAAACTAGGTGGAAATGATTTTGACCACTGGGCTGCTCTCAGGGAAACTGCTATTTTCATGCTGGTTCTAAATGTGCTTTGTGGTCTTTTACCTATTGCTTTTAACTAGTTTATCTTCACTATTTTGCATTTTATGAAGTTGGTTTAAAAATGCTGCAAGCCATCTTGAATTCCAAATTGAGAGAAAAGTGGGATATAAGAATATATTAAACAACAGCAACAACTTGAGGGCAGCCAGCTTGTATATGTCCACTCCACAGAGCAAGTGTTGGGGGCCATTTGGTGCTCCTGGCCTGCTCTCCTTCTTCTTCAGCCCCAGAAACAAAGTTCTGTTTGAACAGCTGAATCATGAGAAGTCTCACTGGATGGTGTCCATGTAACTAAACACCACCATCTGTCTCTCCGGGGGCTCGAGACGACAACAACAAACAGGCTGACCTAGAAATGCAGACTAGCAGAAGCGCCAAGGGTTTAATGCTGCACTTTCGGGTGGAGAACGACGCAAGAGCTTTTCAGTGGTTCCTCTCTCGGATTCTCTCTCCCTTTACACACACACTTTCTTCCTCTTCCAAGTATCCGTCGCTGCTCTTAGAGAAGCCAATTTTTAAAGCTGTTGGGTGACAAATCAGCATATTAATTGGGTCCTGCACTGCAGGCCTTCCTTCCTCCCAGAGAATAGCGGGGTGGCCAGGGAGGGGGGAGGCATATGGAATATTCCAGGACGGATAGAAGGAATATTTTGCAAGTGTCTTAATACAAAGCTAACGCTCTTACTGCCATGTGTTGTTTACCACCCTCCCACCCAAGAAAATCTCCTTGTAGCCAGAAAATGTTGGTGCAAGCCAAGTGTCCAGCCCTTTTGCTGGAAGCAGGCAGAAGTTGAATGGGGAACATTTGGAGAGAGGCTTCACACTCTTCAGGGTGCAGCTATGTTTTTCTTTTGTCTCTCTGGATGAACAGGTGCTACAGGTTTCCTGGGGGGGGGGGAATACTTCCAAGCCCTGTTCAACAGAGGCAAAAGTGGCGTGAGCATACACACCACTCACCATGATCTAATGCTCAAACCACCTTTCACATTTTATTATTACAGTGGTACCTCAGGTTACATATGCTTCAGGTTACATACGCTTCAGGTTACACACTCCATTAACCCAGAAATAGTGCTTCAGGTTAAGAACTTTGCTTCAGGATGAGAACAGAAATCGTGCTCCGGTGGCACGGCAGCAGCAGGAGGCCCCATTAGCTAAAGTGGTGCTTCAGGTTAAGAACAGTTTCAGGTTAAGTACGGACCTCCGGAACAAATTAAGTACTTAACCCGAGGTACCACTGTATTACTATTATTGATGATGATGATGATGATGATGATGATGTTGCTGGTCACTTTATCTTGTCCAAGGCAACCCAAAGCCACTTACAACCAAGCAAACCTATTGTGGTTTTGTCTGCACACCGACACCTAGACTTTGCATCAGGCAGGGGACAGGTGCACATTTGAGAGAGCCACACACTCCTGCTGATTCTAAGCAGAACGACGATTTGTTAGTGTGTCCTTAAAACTCCCTTCAGTGTTTACGGTTTCCAAGCATTTCACAATGCAGCTTGGTCATTTTTCTTTTTTGTCCATCCCCACCCCCAACCCTACCTCAAAACAGATTCCACGACAGTCCTGTGCCAGAAGCTGATGGAGGTTGTCCCACAGGAATCTTAAAACTAGAGGAAAGGCATTCGGTCCAAATCAACGCACAATATTATTTTGAAAACCACGAGTACGTCGGACTCTTCGTTCAACAAGAAAGCAAACCTCGAAGCCAGGGGCCTGACAGTGACAAGTCCCTAGACCCCTGCTGCCTGCATGGCCCTCCCCTCCCCTCCTCCCTCCCTCCCTCCCCTTCCCCCCAAGCCAGGCAGCTGACCAGAGGCAGGAGGCAAAGAGTCCCAGGTGCAAATTTAATCCAGGAAGAGAAGCTTCTGCTGGGAACCTCAAGAGGCCTCAGTAGACCCACCAACAGGGAAGCCAACAGGATGGCAATGTTTACATGTACAGCTGTGGGCTGGACTCTTTGGTCTGTCCTTTGCTTGGTCCTCTCTTTCATTAGCGGCCTAAGTTTCTCCACCCTGAGTTCCTTTGCAGAAGGAAAACGAGAGTTGCCAAGAATCACCAGCAGGCCCACAACTGCCCCTCCACATGTCCAGAAAGGACAAAGAATCCAACGCAACTGATTCTCTTGCCGGCGGAGGGTTTTCCTGGGGCGCAAAAAAAGTCTGTGCCCCTCTCACCCCGAGCTTTACACTCCTTAAAACAGATGGACACGCACACAGGCAAAAACAAGGAAAACAGTGACGCTGAAATTGTGGACTTGCACAGATATCAACTTAATTCCACTCACAAAAAGACTTGGCTGCCCCAACATGAACTTCTTTTTTTTTTTTAATTATTATTGTTGTTAATTATTTTTTTTAGGGATCTGCTTTTTATTTTTCTCCCCTTTTTCCCTTTTAAGATTCCCATGTAGTTCCGCTTTGTATTTGACTTGCAATAAACATTTTGTACATGGTCACCCTTGTGACGTTCCTTCTGGGCGGCTCTTAAGTTGACACCTCTTGGGCACCCAAGCTAAAAGCTCCCTCCGGGGCCTCTGAATCCACAATGATGTGGCACAGCGATCTCTGTGGCCAGAATTGAAACGCTGCCAGCTTTGGTGGCTACAGGAGAAATCCAGCTTGCTCTCCATGATCAACCTTCGCCCAGTACCTTCTGCAGGATCGATCGGCGACTTCTGGCTGCACGGACGGTTATGCCAATCCCTGCCGCTTTTTCTTTCTGCACAGAGAGTCATAGGCTCCAGTGACATCCATTTGCTCTTGGGGCTGGTAGGGGGAAGGGGTGGGAAGGACAGTTCCATGTGATGCCGAACCTGGAAGACTTGGAACAAAAGTTTGCAAACAGCAGAAGCTCTGGGTGGGCAGCAGCGGCCTGTATCAGTTTTGTGTGCCTGGCTCTAGTTCACCCTTTGTGGAGGCTTTTTAACTGGCCAAGCTTGGAGTGTCTGCTGCCATCTCACCCCCTGCCCCCCTGGCAGTGGTCTTATGACTTCACGTCTTAGGGGACCAAGCAGGCAAGGGGGACCTGCTTGTATACAATTCAATGTTAATGTTTTGCTTCCGTTGTTCTGGCAAGCCCTCTTATTTTTATTTAAAGGTTTTCTCCTCTCTCCCTGTGCTAATCGTTGGGAATTAAACTTGACCCCTGGAAGTCCCGCCTTCCAGCCACACAGAATTTCCAGCATCCATCAACACAGGAAGTAGTTCAGTCACACTAGGGCGGTGTTATGGTCCAGCTGAGAGGCCCGTTTTTGAGGCATAGGAGTGTAGCAAATGTTTTGCAACAGGGGTAGCTGCCTTCCAGATTTGGTTAGACTCCAGCTCTTATCAGCCCCAGGCAGCAAAGCCAATGGAGAGAGATGTTGAGTCCAGCATCATTCAGAGGGCACCACACTGGCAACCTTAAAGAAGTTGTGGCATTTGAGGGTTGGGGTTGTCCTTTTCAAAAGGCTGTTTAACTGCACGGCTACTGAGTGGGGTGCATTGTAGGCCTTCCACCTCAGGCATGGCAATTGTGTTTTTTGTCCGGCTGCCTGTATCTGAGCTGGCCCCAACCATTTCAAGCCAGTGTTGTGCCTTTCACACTCCAAAACGAACCCTGAGAAATTCATCGTTTGGAGGGGTTACCAGGAATGCTTTGACAGCAACCGTAGCCCAGTCCTGTGCCTTCCAGGTGTTGTTGGACCGCAACTCCTGTTGGCAAAGTTTCCTTTCACGAAATTACAGTCTCCTGCATTGATTCATTTGATTAAGAGTCATGAATGTTAACGCCAATTGAAGCAGATATTATCCCTCCCCTCCCCATGCTTTCATAGTGCAAACAGACTTAAGGAGAGCCTAGCTGCTGGATCAGGCCAAAGGGGGCCCACCTAGTCCAGCATCCTGTTCTCACTGTGGCCAACCAGATGCACCAATGGGAAGCCTGCAAGTGGGACCTGGGTGCAACAGGAGTGCTGCTCTCCCCTCTTGCGATTGCCAGCAACTGGTATTCAGAGGCATATACTGCCTCCAACAGTGGAGGCGGAACATAGCCACCTCCTCTGCTTACAGTGGCCAACCAGATGCCCACGTGGGGAGCTCACAAGCACGGCATGAGCACAATTGTCCTCCTGCTCGTGATCCCAGCAGTTTGTGCTAGCCAAGAGGCATATTAAGCCAGAAGGGGAGCCGTGCAAATGTTTTGCTGAGAATCTGTATTTTCTTAGCTAAACCAGCAGGCAAAAGGGCAGGGGGACCAACAATCAAGTCCTTCCATGGGAAGCCAAAAGGAAGAATGTATTACTTCTCTTGGATGAGACTTGCTTTATGGTTTTGGCCCACCATAAAGAGGAATAAAATGCCTGCCTTTTTATAGTGGCATTTACAATGTCCAAGACACAATGTACCAGTATCAGTGCTGCTAAAGCTGCAAGTTTTGCTGTTGGTTACCCACTTTGTGCAAGGGGACCTTTTAGAGGAGGACCAAGCATTTAGCGTAATTAATGAGATGCATGTAATTCTCTAGCCATCAGTTAACTGTTTTTAATAATGATGTCATCCTAATCCTGGAGAACATGAGTTAAGGGACCCTGTTTTTGCATCGCAGAAATCTCCCCTCCCCCCAGGTGTCACCTAATTAAAATACGTATTAATTGGTTGATCAAATTAGTTTGAAGCAATTAATTAAGTTTGCATATGATCAACTTATTGTTTTGAAGATGTGGGGGGCTTGTGGCCCTTCAGCGGTCAGGCCTCCAACTCCCACCAGCAGCTAGCAAGGCCCAGGGGTTCAGGAGTGATGGGAGTCCTAGTCCAGCAATGCTGGAAGGGCCGCAGGTTAGCCTCTTCTGCTTTAAGTGGTACATGTATATGTCAAAACAGGCACCATCTTTGTGGGAGAGTGAAGGGAGCATAGATGCTGCCTCTTGTGGGGCCACTTTCACACCCTACATTTAAAATACCATGATACCGCTTTAAGCAGCTGTGGTTTCTGCCAAAGAATTCTGGGAGCTGCAGTTTGTTGTGGGTGCTGAAAGTTGTTAAGAGACCCCTACAGTCCTCTCCCAGAGCTCTGTGTAAAGAGGGGTCGAGTATTTATCCACTCTGAGAATCAGTGGCAAGCCTACATTTTGGGGGACCTGAAGCTTGACCTGTTATGGGGGCCCCTTCGCAACCAGCAATAAAGTCTGGGTAGCCCCTGTTCTCTTCTTCAGTGGAGTTATTCCATGACAGATCACCACACCGTTTCAACATCTGTGCTCCTGACTCTCAAACTTTGGGATTCTTAAAATATATACAACAAAAAAATAATCAGTTTTGAGTTGTTCGACTCAAACTGAAGCAACATGGACCAACGTTGCTTCTGGGGCCCCTCCGTGATGAGGGGCCTTGAAGCTTAAGCTTCATTTTTTCATGCAATCATGGTCTCCTAACAACTCTCAACACCTTTAACAAACAAGCTTAGAGCTCCCAGAATTCTTTGGGGTCATCTACCTCTTGTGGCCCAAATTAGAGGTGACCAAGATGTGTGTATTGTCAGAAGTGTTAGGCATATTTGTGTCTTTATCTTTTTTGAGAGTTGGGTTCCGTGGGGAAAGTGCCCCACTTCCTAGCAGTTAAGAACACCCTACCCTGTCAACACAGAAGTTGGCCTTAACTTCCCGATTGTTCTCTTTTCAGACATGTACCAGAATAATGCAGTTGCTGTTTGCTGTTAACATGTACGTGTTGTTGAAATGTGGCAACTGTTCTTTCCAAATAGGCAAAGTAGTTTTGTAAAAGCAGAATAGGCAGACAATTGAAGGTTGCCTTTGTCGTCTGTTGTGGTGCCAAGAATGGCAGGCAAATAACTGGAGGGCTCAGAATATTACCAAGGGATACATTTCTAAGTCTTCATGACTGCTGTGAATGGTTTTTAGAGCTCTGTGAGTGGCTGTGTACCAAACACGTCCTCTGTCTTCAGAGCTTTGTGCTGCAAAACTGCTTGCATCCCCCCGCCCCCAAACTACGAACTTCAAGGAAGTAAGTTGACACTGAAGTTACTTTTTATGAATAGGGCAAGTCATGTACTGTACAAGATATGAAGGGCCCTGTGGATAATCACCCTTTTCGGAGAACGGGTCACCTTTTTACAGTGTTTATTGTGACTTGTGGCATGTTTATCGTAAGTATATATTGGATGAACGCTGCTAACTACTGGGGCAAGAGCCTAATACAAGCACCTCGTTGAAAAGTTGGTTTTGAGAGCAAGATGTAGTGTAAAACCAAGAATGCAGGGGAGCCAGCTCTGAGATTGTTAAGTTGCAGGCAGACTAGCATGCTTTTGTGGTTTTCTTACTTCTCCTTATGCTTCACTGGAAATTTAGATTTGAAAAAATGTGCTAGTTTTAGTCCAGTTCAGTGTTTGCATCTGCCTTTCTCAAACATGCAAGTAGAATCCAAAATATTCCGATTCCTGTTCTTGGCAGCTAAAATCTTTCTTAAGTATTTACTTGAAAGAAGATAAGAGATGCCCAATTTGAAAATATATGTATTTGTATATATTTTAAAAAGAAGATAACAGATCAGGATTTCCCCTAGCAGTAATTAAATGCCACTGGGATACCATTTCTCTTTTAAGTTTCACTGAACCCCTCTCCCCATTTTTTATTGCAGAATACGACAATAATTCCAATGACGCTCATAATGTGCTTTATTTTATTTTGCAAACCACTACAGCTGTTTCTGGACTTGTAATGAAATGTTTTGTTGTTTGTTAACTTTCTTTCTTTAATTATTATTCCTAACAAAAGGTCTTGGGTAAGAGGCTCCCTTTTCTTCCCACACGAGGCATCAAACACATGGCTAACAAACGGTGGAGCCATCCTAATTGTGCAATGTCTCTTTGGGTCCTTAAGTTTTATTAAAAGAATGTACCCAAACACTTTCCTCAAAAGAGCTGAGCTGAAGTTGATGACTAAAGCCACTGGTTGCTTTTAATGATCTTCTTGTGGGTTTTTTGTTTTTGTTTTCATCGAGTAATGCTACCTAAGGCCACCATACATTTAAAGCACAGCGATAGCACAAGCCAGTCGTGGCTTCCCCCAAAGAGCTCTCTCTTTCATGCTTCCTGTGTTAATTTTGCTGTAATCTTAAGTTTTAAGGACTTCTAAAGGGGCACAAATGAATGATTAAAGCTGGGTGACTTTATATCCATTTATTCCCAGTGTGGGTGAAATGCACTTTGTTGCTACTCGTCTAAAATAGTCTGCCCCCGAATGGTGTAGGTTGAGAGCTGCTTCTGGTTTCAAAAAACAGGAAGACTCCCACTAAAATCATTTGCCAGCAGGATATTAATACATCAGGCTTGTGGGAACGCTTTGTGCATAGCTAGCTGAGTTGTTCTCCGCAAAATGACTCTTATTACATGTCAGTTTCAACTTATATAGAAGTTTGCAGACATGCCAGGTCTTGAAATTGACAAATAAAAGCATTATAGGGGTATCTCGGGTTACATACGCTTCAGGTTACGTACGCTTCACGTTACAGACTCCGTTAACCCAGCAGGAGGCCCCATTAGCTAAAGTGGTGCTTCAGGTTAAGAACAGTTTCAGGTTAAGAACGGACCTCCGGATCGAATTAAGTACTTAACCCGAGGTACCACTGTATGTGAAGAGGCTGCTGAATGGCTCTTCATTCTGGCTTAGCCTTATTGGAGTCCATATGGCTGCTGGGGCCCAGCCTCTCTGGAACTGAACCAGAGCATGACGACTGCCCTGTTCTGTGAAGCGAGGGTGCACCACGCATGTAGTTTGGAACCCCCCTACGTGCAGATAGAACATTTCTGTCTTGAGCATGAAGCCCCTGTGCGCATGGCGTTTCATAAGTGTGTCCCACTCCAAAGAGTCTTCATCTTATATGAGCTTTCCCTGGAGTAGGAGAGCAAGCCCTTCCTCCTCTGTCCTGCAGTTCCGCATGGAAGGAACAGTAGTTTCTCTGCCCCTGCCCCTTCTAATCAATCCTCAACATGGGGAAGTCCAATCCATTGCACGGACCTTGCACAGAGGCTCTCTCAGCCAAGGGGGTTATCTTTATGCCCCCCCCAAGTATATAATATTGACTCCCTTACAAATCTCTCCCCCTTTCTTTTAACATAGTTATTTTTTTAAAAGTAGGGAAAATGTAAACTTAACTTTAAAAGGTTTTTTTCGTTATTCTTGAAGCAAAGTATTTTTTACTAATTTAATGATTATGCTAGATTTTAAATGGCTTAAATAAGAAATATCTTAAGTGTCTCAATTCAAAAAGTGCCGTTTTTATTATGACGTTTGCATTTGTGGGTATAGCTTTGTTCCAATATTTGTGTTGTTTGTTCTCCCTTCTTCTTATTTTATTATCAGTTCTGTAGTAAACTCGGTCAATTCCGCTTTGTAAAAAGATGTATAATCTCTTGGTTGAGTGTGTCCCCCCACCCCTTTTGGGTCTCTTTTTGCTGTTCATAATTAACAATTTCTGTTACCTTTTGAATGTGTTTGATTTTTAAATTGAACGAAGTGCTCTGAATTATAACACTGCTGTTGCTGGTCTTTTGTCTTGGAGCCTCTTTATTTTATATTTTTAAATCCCGATATTTTCACAAAGCAAATATTGCATTTCTGAGTAAGTTTATTATTTGTATTTATATTCCACGTGACTTTTCCACCAGGGCGGTGGGGAATCAAGCTGACTAGGATAACTACTGATAAAGCAAAGATCATGGAAGGTTTCTCTTCCCTCCACCCATCCCAGAACCTTCCTTGCAAAGTGACTGGCTGCTGCTTTCCTCTCAGTGCTACTGGGTGGTATAAGCTGGGTCATAAGGGCTGATGGAAAGGAACCTTTTTGCATGCACATCCTCCATCTCTATATATACAAAGCTACTGTGACCCTCTTTCCAAAAGGTTACAACTCTTGCCTTTGGGGGCTGCTGATTTGGCTTCCAAACAAGGACATTAAGGTAACTGCAAATCAAAATACTGGATCCTATTACCACAGGCACTTCATACTACAGTGGTACCTCAGGTTACATACACTTCAGGGTACATACACTTCAGGTTACAGACTCCGCTAACCCAGAAATAGTGCTTCAGGTTAAGAACTTTGCTTCAGGATGAGAACAGAAATCGTGCTCCGGCAGCACGGCAGCAGCAGGAGGCCCCATGAGCTAAAGTGGTGCTTCAGGTTAAGAACAATTTCAGGTTAAGTATGGACCTCCGGAACGAATTAAGTACTTAACCTGAGGTACCACTGTAAAAAGCAAAAATAGGTATGTCCCTAAAAATATGACTGATGTTTAAAAACGTGCACCACAGGCACACTTGTCAGAGGCAAGATTGTCCATACAGTGTGCAAAAGTTTCCTTGGTTCAGCATCTCCAGGTTAAGGATCTTGCTTGAAACACTGGAGTGCCATCTCCTCCTCATCCCAATCTTTCAGTATAAAATGTGAAAAAATACAATAAAAATAAAATCTTTGATTTGTCAATAAAGAGTAGAGACAAGAGTGAAAGTAAAGATGATGCTGAGCTGCAGGGTCCAAGGGTCTGAACTTTTGTGTAAGGCCACTCCCTACATTCCTATTTAAATCAGCCCTCTGGAACCATGAGGACTGGAAACTTGCATTTATTTTTACGGGGAGCAGCAGCCAGTGGAGGCAATGCTGAACTTGATGGACCAAGGGCATGATGGCGTAAGGCAGCCTCTTATGCGCCACGTGGGGAGGCAAACACAGCAGTTTTCCTGTGTAATCCGAAAGGGCTCCAGACTCTGGAGGCTGCTTCAAGTGTTATTGACTTCCCTGCTGAAAAGCAAGACCATGTTGAAGAAGGAAAAAGATGGTGCCTGAGATTTCCTTTTCATCATGTGAAACCGGCGTGGGGAGGAGTGTTTTCTTCCTGGGGTGGGTGGGGCCTCTCCCTGAATCTAAAGAGAAGATTGTGGGTGAATTTGCTGAGCTGGTAGAATTTGTAGCACGGGTTGTGAGGAAAATGTGTCCTTTCCCATTAGAGTGTGAAGATTTCACTTCAGTGTCACTGTGCCCTTTCTCAAGATTGCAGTGTGTTCCTGGCCAAATACTGGGCATTCCGGTTTTAAACAAGGGGGGGAGAAGTGGGTGCAAGAACAGACGACTCCTCAAACACTGAAGGCTTTCATAATAGCAAGAGAAGTGAACCAGAGCGAACCGTTTGTTCTTTCGCAGGTCAGTGCCACTTAGTTTTCCCTCTGTAATGGTCTCCTTTAATTGCAATTACAAACAGCCCTTGACAGCCCCAGCTACTTGCTGTTTGTTTAAGCCAGAATAGTAATTCTTGCATCAAACCATGATTTTTTTTTTGTTGGAGAGTGGCCAGGCAGTTTCAGGTGAACATGGTTTCTGACACATTTCAAAACTGAAATTAATTCTGCCTTGTGCTTACTTGGCAATTTGCAAAATCCTGGATTTGCTCCTTAATCACTGTTCTGAGACTCCACCTGCCAGTGACAAATCGGGTTCTTGTTCAGATCAGCACACCTTTCTGGCTCCTCGCTGCAAAAGTGAGCAAGTGACTGATTGCATAAGGAAGAAGCGGAGGAGATGCACACCACCTGTTTGAGTGATTTGACTCTCAGGTCTACATGTGGCAGGAACTGGGCCGTGCTTAAAGCTTCTCAAGAGGATTCTGTGCTTGTATCAGAACAGAAAGGCTAGGAGAGCCAGCTTATGCCCTTCTTTTGCACCACTGCCTTGTAGGATAGACAGGCTGTGTCTTAACTATCCAGTAATCACTGCTGCCACCAGCCCTCTTGACATGCCCTCCAGACGGGAGGGAATTTGGGGGCACTGAAAAAAAACAACATCAAGAACTTGAGATAGCAAATCCTGAGCTGCTCAGCCAGATCCCTCTCAGTTTACGTAGTCAGAAATGAGTGCCATTTTCTTAAGGGCTCTTTCACACTTTTGTGTGTATGTGTATAAATCATAAAATGATGCTTTGGCTCTAAAATAATTTGTTTTAGTGAGGGAAATGCTTTCAGGCAAAATATTTTTGAATGGAAGCAAATGAACAGCAGCTATTATTACTCATAATAGGGTATATTTGGCCGAACCTTTCTGACATGTCTTAGCAAAGCTGTTAAGAGAGTTGTGCCTGTACACTTCCAAATAGCTTAATTATATGTTAAATCTAATAGCACCTTGCCCACGGTCTTCTTTTACAAGAAACAGGTCCATGAGCATCAGACACGTGGCACGTGCTGCCAAGGGAAGATGCAGAAGGCTTTCAGTGAGGTGGAGGCCTCGCTGTTTGGGGATGTGAGGAGTGATGAAGAGGAACACAGATTGGCCTGTAGCGTTCCTGGCTTGGAACAGCTGACTGCCAGTATAAAAGACGCCAGCTGACCGATGGCCCTGCAGCTCCTGCAGTTCAGGCCCAGTCCTACCATTAGGCAGAATGGAGCAGCCAGCACCGACAGCTGATTTTGAGTGGTTTACTGTTGTTATTTCTGTTAGGATTACTTGTAGCTGGTAGTCATGTCAGCTCTGCTTTTCTAGACAGACAGATCTGCAAAGGCTCGGATAATGCCAGGCAACACCTCTCCTAAGTACATAATGACAGCCTGCTGGATTCGGCCAAAAAGGACCCGACTAGTCCAGCATCCTGTTCTCACAGTGGCCAAGATGCTTATGAGAAGCCCTTAAGCTGCATCCAAGCACAATTTTTTCCTTATGCCACATATATGTTGCAAACTTCGATCCTGTCACCCTCCCTTTTTTTCTAACCTAAAATGTCCCCAACATTGCAGCCTTTCTTCATAGGGGACTCACCATCTCCAGTTCTACAATATCCTTTTTCAGTTGGCGACCAGAACCGTACGCAGGGTTCCAAATGTGGTCGCACCATAGAATTGCATGATGGCATTCTATGATATTGGAAGTCATGTTTTCAGTTCCTTTTCTATTGATCCCTAGTATGGAGTGTGCCTTTTTCACAGCTGCCACACACACTGGGCCAATGTCTTTCTTCAGCTGTCAACTAGGACCCCGAGGTCTCGTTCCATCAGTTCAAACCCCAGGAGCATATATGTGAAATGATGGGGCTTGGGTTGCCACAACATGCATCACTTTGCACTTACAGCAGAGGAATGGGAAAGTGGCTGTGCAGAGATGGAGGGAGAAAGGGGGCGGGGGGGGGGGGCGGGAGGCTAATGCAATCACACTGCCAGGAGAGGAGGAAGCATGAATGGACACAGGTTTGAACAGGTGCTCTTTGTTTCTCTGCCATCCCAGCCCACGCTTTGCTTACCGAAACAATCAACTCTGCCCTTTTGTTTCAAGCCCCAGGTGCTGGCAAATGGATGAGACGGAGAGATGTTTGGGTGGCTGGCTGTGGGAAGGGAGTGGTGCCCACTTAGTGGCTGCATACGTGACCCAGTTTGCCTATTACTGAAATGCCCGCAGGGAGGGGAGGACAAGGCGAGGTAGCGTGGAGAGCGGAAGTAAAGTATTTCCAAAGAAACTGCCAAAAAAGGAGATGTGCTGTGCTTGGAATGCCTGGACCTGCCGCACACTTTAAAAGACGCTGAATGCCAATTCCCCCTCCCAGCTGGGTGAAGCTGGGGGTCTGCCTTGTCTTCGATCACCTTTCTCTAACAACTCCTGTGGGGTCAGCGCAGCTACTTTTAAAAAATGTTTCTCTTAGAAGTCTCCAAAATGGTCACTGTACCTGCATATATGGTGATCTGAGGAGCAACTTGAAGGAGTGATTTCAAGTTGGGGGCAGTGGGGCTCTGGCCTATGGTGTCCCTTGGCGTTCAATCTTCTCCCCCATGCTATTTAATGCAAAACCACTGGGGAGGTAATTCTTCATTTTGGGATTCAAACTCACCAATGCCCTGATGACAGCACTTTCAGAGTTAGATAGGATTTCTTGTTTATGGCCTATAGAGCACCTGGGTTATAAGATGTTGTAAAATGTAGGCGCACAGGAACCATGCATAAAAAACTATTCAGTGATGTGTTTTATCTTTCTAAAGGTTAAATGCCATTAATGTATGAGACATAATTAAATCAAAATATACATGCTGGGTCTCTGATTCTTCTATTACCTCTGAACATGAGCGCTCCTGCTCCTGTTTTAATTTTGAACTTTCAATTGTCATAACCTGCCCTAGGACCTGACGGTAAGGTAATAAATTTTATCATAATAGTAATAATCCAGCCAGCCACGACCCCTTCCAGGAAGCTATGAGCTGAGAGTTGCTTGAACAGGCAAGTTCCCTCTCCTTGTCCTGTTTTTCTTTTCATTGGAGGCTGTGCGCATGTTCCTGTTCACTCTGTGTCCAATGTGCTCCAATTGCTGTTTGCGAAGCAGTGTGTACACTACATTGACCACTATCCATGGACTCGGCCACACTTGTTTGTCCTGTGCCTGGAAAGCATGACTCCGAGAGGTTTTCCCCTTGCCCCAAGGGAAAACCCTCTCTTTAGTGATACATTAGGAAATTAGGCAAAACCAGAATTGCCTTTTACTCCAATTGAGTGCTAAAGAGCAGTTTTCCCTGGCGGAAAG